TTAATCAAAAGTAGACAGTTAATCATGAAGAAAGCTCTCAGTAAATTGATTAATCAAAGAAATAACCTTTTTATACTGAGTGGAATAGTTCAACGTTTTTTGGAAATGCATTTTCTTGCTGAAATTTAAATAAGATAATCGGTGTTAAACATAAACGCTTAATACAGAAAACTAAATTGTATCTTTGTTTCGTGATGCAAACGATGTGACCACAAATACTAACCCACAACAGCCTGTATTTGATGATACACCTTTAAAGGAATAGTTTGACATTTTGGAAATTTGAACACTTTCTTGCCAAGAGTTAACTGCCAAGATGTCAATCACCACTGGAGTCTCTGCTGGTGCCCTTGTAACTGTGCCCAGGCAACTATCTTACCCCACATAAAAGCACAAGTCATTTCTATACTTTTGAAACAATGTTTCAGTCATACAACTCACGTTGCAGCAGAACATAGTCAGTGTTTGGCGTCTAGGCTCTGACTCTTTCAGATATGATTACATAGATATAACGAGAGTGATGTGTGAATATGTATATCAGCCCCCTCGGAGCCTACAGGTGGATGCTGGGGTGTTGCAGGGGCTGAATCAACCTGTGGCAGTACTGGCGCAGCAGCAGCGGGGGGGCAAGCAAAGGGAGTCATGGGAGCTTAAATAGAGGGGGTGAATGAGACATATCGCAGCGAGGTGGAGAGCGAAGGATATCACATGACTGGAGCAGCGCAGCTCGAGTTGGCTGCCTGAACTAGCTTGCAAGCTATAATTTGTTGGTTTGTGTTTGGGGTGCTGGTTGTCAGATTTAGTCTGTCTTCATGCATCATGAAACTAACCTTCACCTGCTGTTTTTACCGCTGCCCATTTGTTTGTTGGTTGGTTTGTTGGTTCATGTCATATACAAACATGAGAGTAGTATTAATCTTCCCATAACGCTGTGCAAGAAAGGGAATTAACATAGTTCCTGAAATGTCAAACTGTTCCTTTTATATACACTCTGTTCTCTTGCCCAAGCTTGCCCAAGAGTAATTTGTCATTATTTTATGTGTAGCCCTGGAATAATTCAGTGACTACTTAATGAGTTTTAAATCTCCATTTGGTTCTCCATTTGTTCCTCACTTGTTTTTGTGTAACGGTTCTTGTATCCCTTTGTAAAATGTTATAGAAACAGATATACCATTCTTTTATTTGAGCAAATACTTATGAAAGGTGAACTGGTCATCTGCACCTGTCTCTGCATCCTCACACAGGCATGTCACAGCACCCCCACCCACACACAGGGCACTCAAACACACGCGGGGAGGCAATGTTATGACTCATTCACAAAGCTGTGGATAAAATCTCATCCATCACAATGCACCATGAAGACACTTGTGATAAAATCATTCACGCAGGTTCAAAGCCGCTCAGACCGTCGAATAATTAACAGACACAAGGCGCGAGGCACTTGCTATCACAATCACATTTGGAGCTAAAGTCCTCCTGGCTAGCTATCGCAGCTGCACCCACTTATCACATGGATCCAGTGGACCGTGTGGCTAGCCATCAAAACAGAGGCCCAGTCACACACTAATGGGGTCTCTGGAAGATTCCAGGAGTGTGTGGGTGGGAGGTCAGAACCTTTGTATCCATTACTGCCACATACCATGTAAACCCTCTGATCATTATCGCTACACGGCTGGCTCCCAATCAGGAACAGGTACCTGACACATCTGCGAGACAGAGAAACAGCAGCAGCCGTAGGTTGATATTCTCGTGGTTCTACTTTTTCTCATTTAACTTTTTTGGCCACACGCTCACATTTCCTCCAGATGCAGATTAGCTGTCATATAACCGGTGAGTTTCAGAGATGCTCTAGGGACAAAACCTTGTGTTACCATGGCCTACCTACTCAACTTATGTATTCCACTGGTCACTTGTGCATTATCTGTCTATCTTTCACATTTCAGGGTGTGCATGGTTACTGGGCTCATAGCAGCAGCTTTACAGAGACATAATTAGAGGTGAGCAGGTATGACAGATGGATTACGGTAATAATTGAGTGTGGAGAGTCTATCGTCCTGTCTGTGGTGCACCTGCATTGTCTTTGGAAATAAACAGCAGAAGAGGCAAGAATTTGTCTTCTTATAGCGCTTGCCTGTAGAATTACAACACTTTTTTTCTTCTCACAGGCACCGATGCTGCTTACAGTGATAAAGAAAACCATAGATAGCCTGGTTTTATTATTCCAAAGCAGATGGTGCAAAATGAGACATGGGTGCCCAGCAGCTCAGTGACCTTCATGTTGCTAATCTAACATTGCCCCAACATTGATCTAACATTAACACCTCACCCCTCACGGAATATGCATGACTCCAAACAGGCTGGTCGCCTGTGTGCTTTCGAACAAATCACCTGGACATGCAATTACCTCCTGCTCTGGAGTTATTTCTTCCCTGTGTATACGATGGACCCTCACATTTGAGTCTGGCAATTAAACAGGTTTCTAGGTTAATTAATGTGACGGACAGACCCCATTGTTCCTCATGTCAGCCCAAAACGAAACCTTATTGCTTCTTGTGCTGAAGGTTGACTTTTTATTGTTCTTTGATTTGTCATTCTCTAAAGGAGCAAGCAGTGCCAGCCCTGTAATTGACTCGGAGAAGACTGCATCGAGCAGACATGTTACTGAATGCTTGGAACCAAAGCTGTGGTTTCTCATAGGAGCCCATAATTTATCAAGAGCCATGCAGTGAATTGTTGTGCACCTCTGCTATATGGAAACGGAGGCTGTATGTGTTTGGTCAGCTCTACATCAAACATAAACCTCATACAGGATACATTCTCTCTCCTCCTTGCTTGTTGCTTCCCACTTCATCTCATGATGAAATTCAATTGGAATTTATCCGAGTGTGATTGTGTGTATGTGTGTGTACCCAATGCCCATGACTGTGTGTCTGCGTGAAAGTGAGGAAGGAGGAAGAGAGAAGATCCAAACCGAAACGAGGCGTAATCTCAGTCTAAATCACACCACCTCCCCCGGGGAAAAGCCCCTCTTCCTGGGGTTAGTCAGTGAATTAAATCACAGTGAGGGCCCCATTTTTCAAAAGTAACCTTTCCATTGACAGTGTAAGTGGGAGTCAGGCTCTCACCGTGGAGTCCAGGCAGTGGAATTAGTGTCGTGCGTTGCGACACCAGTCTCTCAGGGTGTCATTTGTAGGGACTATTGCTGCATTTTTCAGGGCCTGCTTGCCTGTCTCAGTGTGCACACAGTGGAGGAGGCCATCTGCCCACCTCCCCTTTCACATTCCTCATTTCTCCTCTCAGCAGTCTCTTCCTAGCAGTTCCCACACAGTTTCCTTAAATGTATTTTTGGTGCATCTCATAAATTCAACAGTATGTGCATCCAGAGCCATGTTATCACCCTCGGATTTTGGACATGCATGATTTATCGATTGAAAGATATTCATGCCATCAGTGCAGTGAATGGAGATAAAAACACTACATGGCAGGATTAGGCCTGAATAATCTCTATTCAACTTAATTAGAAATTTGTCCATCCAAGTTTGTGATGTCAATAGGACACAATTCAATAAGAGGCACATTGCCTTTTCTAATCTTTTAATTGAATAGAAATTAATGAAACGGACATGTTAATAAAATTGGATTCCGTTCTTCATAATAATTTTCCAGATAAAGCAACTCTCTGATCGAGCAACTTCACTGACTTATCCTGTATCGTGCGTTTGCTGTTTCCTGTTTCACAATTTCCCATAGTGCTGCTGTAATTTTTCAACTCTGGCAGCTCTTTCGAGACTATTGTTATGGTGGCTGGTCCAGAAGTGGTCAGTTTCGTAGGTAACTTGAAAATGAAGGCGAAATGAATTATGTATCTATCTACAAAGTGCTCAGTGGGCACCTTTCCTCACACTGTCAGCCACCAAATTAATACAGCAGTCACTCATATAGAGCCTGACAATCATTTCATTCTTAAATATGACATTTGCTTTAAATCATCTCCCTTTTCAAAAAATTTAATTGTTGCCACAAATTGCCAAGTGAGTCCCTGGCTCCTGTATGCCACGAAAATGAATTATCATAATTTGCTTGTTTGTAAACGCACCATCTGTGCAGTTAAATAGTTTGGTGATGATAGTGTTATGTTAAGAAGATGTGAGGGCTCCTTGCTTCTAAAGATGTGGTTAATTATCACCAGTTCGTGTGCCAGTGTTGCATAGTGTGTGTGTGTGAGTGTGAGTGAGTGTGTGTGTGCGTGCCTGCGTGCACAGGATGAATCAGGAGTGTCTTCTGAAGAAGGGTTGCCTGGGAGACCAGCCTGGACCCCTCCAAACGTGTCTGTTCTGCTCTCCTCCCTCTCTCCCCCTCTCCTCCGTTTTTATTAAAGGTGCATCAGTGATGGATCCAAAACAATTTCAGGTAAAAGGCACTTTTTAGTCGGCAGGTGCAGGCTCTTCTTACCTGCAGACACTGATCTCCGTTTGATGCCTTTCACCGTCAGCATCAGAAGGAAAAAAAACGCTCTTAGACTTCGTGAGTGTGTTTGCGTGTGTGTGTGTGTTTGATGGGGAAATAAAGGAGGGGAGGGGAAATAGCGAGAGAGAGATTATATGGAGGCTGAGACGCAGCGCGCAGAGAAGAACAATTGTCTTATTCAAGTCAGTAAGTGCATTTGTTCGTCTTGTTTACCATCTCGTTCACACTGATGTCTGAAGACACAACAGCCCCAACTTCCTGAAAACCCTGCCGCGAAGTGATGCTACTTTTATTTTTTTCCACCCAGCCAGCTGAGTGACGTCTCGCAAGGAAAAGGGGGCTGAAAACTCGGCGCACGCAGTGAATCCCTCGCTGTGACTCATTCATTTTGTATAAATGCGACCGGTTGCGGAGACAGACAGAGCCCCGGCTTTAATTAGCTGGAGCTCCTCCGTGCTGGCTGCTCAGTGAAGGCACATTACAGCTCCTCACTACAGACGCTTTTTCTTCTCTCCTTCCATTTTTTCCCTGAGACCGTGGAGATGATATGCGCCCCTGGGAGACGAACACCACAGCCGACAGAGCCATCGCTGCGCTCCCGTGGAGTTGGTCTGAGCGAGGAGAATGTCTCCCACTTCTGCCGGTTCTAACATCTAAGTGCTGGATTTGAGAGATATTTTATTTTTGAATTGACTACATGTTATTCATTAGATTTTGCCACTCCAGGCTGTGAAGATATGCCAGTTATTAGCGGAGGCTTCGTTGTGTTGCAATAGGCGCTTTGGATTCCGCGTAAACGGACACAATTAGGCCAGTTCATCCGCGGCGGCTCTTCGTGTTCCTTCACAGATATTTATATTTCTCATGGATGTATCCTTCCTTATCGCGAAGGGACTGATTTCACCGTCACTATTCAACAAGCTGCACTCGCTCCTGGCTGCAAAGCGATGGGCGCAGTTTGCCTGAGCCATCCACAGCGTCTCGGTTCCCCAGCCCCGCTTGTTGAATCTCCTCCCTGGTGACTAGAATGGGTTCGTATTAACAAACTTAACTCTGGTTCTATCATCGGCGGATTGCAGACTCCATCTTTCTCTTAAAAAGTTCATCATGGCTCGTCCCGGGGTGTGCGTGAAGCTGAGCTCCGTGTGGAGAGCGCTTTGGCTCATGAGGACCGTGGTGGATTTCGCGCTGCCACAGGAGACTTACGCGCCCCATTCAATACGGACTGAGGGCCACCTGACCCTCGGAGGACTCTTCCCGGTGCACGCCCGCGGGGCCGACGGCATACCGTGCGGGGATCTCAAGAAGGAGAACGGCATCCAGCGGCTTGAGGCCATGATGTACGCTTTGGACCAAATCAACCAGGACGATCAACTCCTACCCAACATCACCTTAGGCGCCCGGGTGCTGGACACTTGTTCGAGGGATACCTACGCGCTGGAGCAGTCTTTAACTTTCGTCCAAGCCCTGATCACGAAGGACACCTCCGACGTGAGGTGCACCAACGGGGAGCCCCCGGTGTTCGTGAAGCCTGAAAAAGTCGTGGGAGTCATCGGCGCCTCGGCGAGTTCAGTATCGATTATGGTCGCCAACATCCTACGCCTCTTTCAGGTAAAGTCTTTGAGCGTGTGTAATACTTTTCGTGTGGACACTGAAGATAGTCAGATAGAGAAAGATGTTCGTGCTGTTCTGCTATAATCAGCTGTTTATAGGGAAGAGAGTGACGGTGATGCGCCTCCTCACTGCTTCCAGTAACGGGAAGCGGATGAAAGGGGGGTGCCAAGTGGTAAACAATCCAAAACAGTATCTTAAATGGAAAAAGACTGTTGTTACAATAAAAACAAATCTGCTGTTCTAGGCCATAACATGTATATATTTGTACTTTTCTCATTTTTTAATTCATTTTATGTAATGGCTAATTCTCACAAAGAATTCTCTCCATATGAATAAATGGAAATAAGAGGATGTTGAGGGGATTTTAAAAATGTTTTACCCTCCAATAATCTTTGTGGATGAGATGGCTGAATGTGCGGTTGCTTGTTCCCGGTGGTGCTGAAAGAACAGCTCCCGTCTGTTCCAGCCCCACTCTGGAGTCTGGATGAGTGGGCACTGGCAGCCTGACACAATCACACCCAAACTCAACAAACCCCTCCTGAGAATAACAGGCCTGCTCCGTGTGATTGCACATGATTATATGAGCCTCCTACATGGCAAGACCGCAGGCATTTTATGAATTGTTTTGAACCTTAAAGCCGTGATTTATGGACGAGCTGGCTGGATTTTATCTACGGGGTTCCCACGGTGAAACGAGACGGTTTCAGACTCTCTGCGCCCTAATTGAGCTTGATGACTGCAAAGTAAATGAAAATGAATTTGCACCACTAATTTCAAAATGAGTTAGTTCGAGTTTATGGGAACACATCTCTATTCCTGTTGGCTGCGAGTCAACTAATGGAGTTGGCCCACTGCTGGTGCTGCAGTGGAATGGGAAACGCAGCAGGGCACCAGTGCAACAGATTAATTATTCAACATACATCTCCATAGCAAAATATCTAATAACTTGAAGATGTTTCTTTTGCAAACATACACACTCCCCTTCCGTTTTTCTTGTGTGAAGAGAGCTGTGTTCAGTCAAGGAGGATTACCTGAGCTGCACTGTTGATGCCAAAGATTTGTGGTTACGAATTGTAACTCACCCTCTTGTCGTTTTGTGTTTTGTTTCAGTTCATTTCGACAAACCATGGGCCTGGCTCCAAGTAGCTGTTTAAATGCCACTGTAAAACCATCAAAATACTTAACATGCTTTTAGCATCCATTCCACAATGATTCCATTGCCCCATTGGCTTTACCGATAGGGTATTGACTGCAACCCTCCGCCTGCCTGTGGTTCTTCTTCATTCTTTGAAGACTAAGTTAAAATATTTAATTTTTTATCATACTCAGTTAGTAAAAGCCTGCAGTCATGCTTTGAAGCATCCTCACTATATACTCTAAGTTTGTTGCAGAATACGAGTGTTGTAATTTTTCCTTTTTCCAGGCAAGCATGTGAAATTGAGGGGGTTTAATGGGAGAAAAAAAACATCTTGTAATTCCCACTTCTCCTGTCTCCCCACAACAGGTGTAGCAGCATTTCTGTAAGTGTCAAGATGTGGGAGTGAAGGTGTAGTCCATGTGTGATGTTGCACTGCAGCCCAGACTTTTTTAATCCTGAATGTGTGGATTGACAGCAGTTGTCATGCGTCTCTGTCCATCACTTTGTTTCTTCTCATTTCTTCTGATGCCAGAAAAGAGGATTAATCACCACAGCCAAATCTGCACACTCCAGGAAAGAAAAAACTCAGTCTACCTCTGAATCTGTTTGCCCTTCAGCACACTCAATTTTTTTTCCTCCTCTGGTACCAGTTGTGATGATAGGACGAATAATAACGATGATCAATTAAACATGAAGCAGCATGATACTGTATAATCAATACATACCAGGAGTGAGAGCTCCCAGCCCATTTACTCTCATTAGTCTTACAGCATTTGATTAGTGTGTGGTCACAATTACAAGTTTCTGAGATTGCTTTGAACTGCAATCCATCAAGTATCAAATGATTCCAGTCAAAAATGTCAAAAGCTTGAGAGAACACCTGTTCAGATATAATCAAAGAACCAAAGCTGATATTTTCTCCAATCAAAGTGAAAGAAACATCAAATGGGCTCAGTGCAAGGTTCAGTTTCATGTCTTAGCTGATTCAAATTAGGTTTGATTATTGGATACGCTGCATAACTAAGCAGTCTAATGAACTTTGCATCAATTTTTTACACTTGAAGCTTGCGGACAGTGACCTCCTCCTGAGCTTTCCCCCCAGCCTACTTTTCGCTTTGTTCTCAGTGAATCTCATCAGGTCATTTGCGTTTCACCTCTGTGATAAATGAATCATCTGGGAAGCTAAATAGTGATTGTGGATTTTATTGCCAGACACTAAATATCATGGCTGTCTATTCAAGATATGAGTAGCTGCTGAACTGTTAATGCTGGGAAATTGACATGAGGGATAGATTTTTCTGAGGACCCAGGAGGGTTGATCAATACAGTTGCCATGGTGAGGCCGATTTGCTGCTAAGATGTTTTTATTTCACAGCCTTTCATGCTGTGTTGGAAATGAGAGGCAACAATGCCACACGAGGAAGAAAAATCGATCAGCCAAACTTTTGCTATGATGTTGTGCACCTTTTGAAAAATTGTCCAAATCTGCACCCAGTCATACTCAGGGAGGACAACACTGCAGCTGAACAGACAGGGCAACTTTATCCATTTGTAAGTCCTGGCCTCTTGAATGAATCATGAAATAGATTTTTATCCAGATGACATTTACATCAGGGAATGTAGCTCGCTATCCTCTGTCACATCTCTTCTCCAAAGACCGAGACAAAACTTAGTTGTAAATGCAGGTGAACGCCGTCTCGTCCCCCTGTCTGGGGAGGCAGCCCCTCCAGATGAGCTGTCTAAGTGAGGCATTGACGTTGTCGGTCCTCATAGCCCTGACAGGCTCCGGTCAGCTTTTTATCTCCTTTTCTTTGATTTCCTTGATTTGAAGGAGATTGAAGCCTTGCAGTTTGATCTGTGCAGATGACAGTGGTAAAGAGGGACAGCAGAGGACTGTGTGTGTGCCTTACATAACAAGCTCTGAAAGTGACACTGAATGTCAGAGGTTAAATATGTTGGTTTTTCCAAACATGGTTGTCATTTGTACATAGATGCAGGAAGCGGCGCAGCTCAATTAGTCACATCTCTGGTACTGTATTTAGCCCAATCGCAAGAGATATCACAGCTGTCAAGTATGCAGCATATGAGGAGATATACACACACATACATACTCTCCACACACAAAGCGCTCCATTACCACTGCTGACGGAAACTGTCTCATGGATATTTCATGATCCACATGAGTGCTGTTGGCTGTTGTATTTACGCTCCATCAATTACTAATTGACTTTTATTCAGAGTGTGACACACTATGTACATAATAAGTTCATGGAAGAAAGTTATTTCAGTTTCTAAACCAAGTCTGAACCTTCAGTCTCTTCCTTAAAACACACCAAAAAAGCTTAAGTGAAAAAATTGACCACATACAATGAAGGTGAAAATTGATAAGTTATTTTATTCTTGGAATAAAAGGACTTGATAACATTTTACCATAACTGGTCTTCCTCCGGCTGGGGTGTGGGTGTGTGAGCTGAGGTATTTATAGATTAGCTTTGATGACACGTCATGCATCATCTGTGAATGTGGTCATTCATAATAACACTATACATGTGAGGACAATGCTGCGTATTATTGAAATACAGGGAATGATCTCTTAACACCCACATCAATCATATGAACATTGCTGAACAGTTCATGGTGGAATTCGGAAGGTGGACTCTCAAAATAGTTAACATTTGTAGGTACTTTTTGTATGTGTATTTCTTTCAGTCTAATAATTCCCTTTCCACAAATAACAAAATGGCTGACCGTCTTTAAAGGGTTATTGAGTCATCACTTACACTAACACATTTATGCAGATTTTGTAGAAAAATCCACTGATCATCATTCTTAGTCCTTGGGAATGAGAGCCTGCTGGTTTTCATTCCAGCCATTTAAGCAGACGCTGACTTATGGCCCCGTCAGACCAGAATTGGCAAGGTGACATTTATACTGTTTCAAGGAGCAGTGGGACAGGATATATTGTGGGCAGAGTTACAAGCACAACCAGCAGGTGTTAGCATGGATAGGAAGCTAACAATAGCATTCTCCAAGTTGATCATTTTACACTGATTTATCAATTACATTATACTCTACTCTGTCTTTCTTCATCCATGTCCTTGTCATTCTAGCCACACAGCATGAACCCTCTACTGCTGCTGGGGTTCTTCAAGCATGCAGTTATACAAACAAGGATACAAACAATCAATACGTACTTAAGGACAGGTCAATCCCACCTGCTCTTTCAAATTGGCTGGATATCATTGAATCACGTTCATTTCGCAGGTCACAGTTCGATCAGTGACTTTGAAATGATGGGGAGTAAATTTTGATAGATTGACATTTGTTAGATCTGGGATGAAGGGGGATGTATTTACCTGAAATGATCCGGCTGGACAGAATTGCAGCAGGGCAGAGTTTAAAGACCAAACAACAACTGATCTCGTGAAGCAATAGAATGCACAGGTCTGATTTCAGAATCGGATGTAGATGAAATGAAATAAAATAAACACTGACTGACAGGGAGGCACAGTACAGTGATTACCACGGTCACAACAAGAAGGTTTCCTGTTCTCAATGTGTCTGTGTGGGTTTCCTTCTAATACTCCAGCTTCCTCCCATACTTCAAAGACATGTGGGTTATGTTAACTCTAAATTGTCTGTAGGTGTTAATGTTAGGGTTTTTCGTCTCAATATGGGTATGTACGAGCAGGGTTGGCTCCAGCTCCCCCATGACCCTCAAGGATAAGCAGTGTAGATAATGAATGGAAAACTAGAATGGCAGTAAATAGAGCATATACCTCTGCCAAGGCCAACAGTCCCTTTAAATTCAATCAAGAAGCAGCAAATGGCGCACTCTCTTAGATATCAGTCTTCAAAA